CGAATCAATTTGGAGAGCTTTGAATCCATTTGGACCTTTTTATTGGTCTTCTGATTCAATTCAGATTCAGAGATTTGGCCGCCAAATTGGGCCGAATCTCCTCTAAATTGAATCAGCACCCAAAGCTTTGCACAGCTGTAGTAATTAATTTGTAAAACTAATTGCCACAGGAGGTAGTGGCAGCAGATAGCATAGCCAGGTTCAAACAGGGACTGGAAAAGTTCATGGATGATAGATCCATTAATGGCTGTTAAACAGAATGGCTGGGGATGCTTCCTTTGGCGGCCAAATGCTAGAGATAGTATTGAATAGGGGACAGTTAACCTTAGAGATATCTGGTTTGATGCTCTCCCTATATAACATCCATTTCTGCTGCTGGTGGAGAGGAGACACTGGTCTAGATGGACCACTAGTTTGGCCCAGTTTGGCACTTCTTATGCTCTCATAGATTTCATAGACATTATGGCTGGAAGGGACCTCACAACATCAATCGGGTCCAGCCCTCTACCCAAGGGGCAGGAAGTCAACTGGGGTCAGATCACCCCAGCAAGATAAACATCCAGGCGTTTCTTAAAGATATTCAGAGTAGGTGCTTGAACGACTTATGGGGGGACTCTATTCCAGACTCTGGTGACTTGGATGATAAAGAAGTTTTTCCTTATGTCCAGTCTAAAATGGTCTTCCAGCAGTGTGTGACCATTAGACCTTGCCTTCCCTTGGGGTGCTCTAGTGAACAGTCGTTCTCCCAGTTCTTGATGCACACCCCTTATGTACTTCTAAGCTGACACCAAGTCCCACCTGAGCCTCCACTTCTCCAGGCTGAAGAGTCCCGTGCCTCTCAGCCTCTCCTCATAAAGCCTGTTCTCTTGCCCTCTGATCATGCCCGTGGCTCTCCTCTGGACTCTCCCAAGCTTCTCCACTTCCTTTCTGAAGTGCAGAGCCCAGAATTTGATGTATGATTCCAGCTGAGGCCTCACCAAGGCTGAGTAAAGCAGGAGGATGACTTTTTGGATCTTGATTGAGATGCATCGGTAGATGCAAGCCAGTTTTATTTGCTTTGCCGGCTGCAGCATCATATTGGTGGCTCATGTTCATCTGGCGGTCATTTATGAGCCTCAAATCTCTTTTGGTCGTGGTGCCAGTGAGTGTAGCACTGCTGAGCCTATAAGCATGATGTGGGTTTTTTTTGTCCTGAGGTGGAGCACCTTGCATTTCTCTGTGTTGAATGTCATCAGGTTTTTCTCTGCCCACCTTGCAAGCCTGTCCAGGTCGGCCTGAATTGCCAGCCCATCCCCTAGTGTGACCGCACTTCCCCATAATTTGTTGTCATCTGCAAACTTAGTCAGTCTGCTTCTGACACCTGAATCCAGATCATTTATGAATATATTAAAGAGTACTGGTCTGAGTACTGAGCCCTGGGGGACGCCACTGGTCACCATGCACCATATTGACTTGGTTCTACCAACTATCACTCTCTAGGTCCAACCATGAAGCCAGATCCCCAGCCATTGGACCATAAGGTTGCCAAGGCTGCAGTTTCCCAATTTTACCATGAGCAATCTTACCTTGTCTGAAGGTATTTTATTCTGGAAAGCATGTCAAGGTGCCCTGCTGAATATTGCTCTATCACATCCTTTACATCATAAGGCCTCAAAGTTTCCTTGAATTTTTTTTTGTAGAGACGAAATTGTAGTATTCTGTACAGTAAACAGAACAATTACTAGCCTCTAATATAAATTGCACAATGGTCAATTATAATGAAGGTCCCGCCAAGCAACCAATAACCATTCTTTGGATGATGAAGGATTGAACAAACAATATAATTTCATTCCAAAAAAGTGAAATACAGGGAATATCAAACACTATATCTCATTACAAATACATTTTGTATTTTTCTATGCATCATTAGTAGGTTAGATTTTTCTTCATTATGTATGAAAGATACATAATGGTTTTCCTTTTCTCCTGTATGACCATGATTGGACGAAGTCCACAAAAATCAGACCTGTATCTAGATGCTGCACAACTGAAGTACAGTAGACAATTTGTAAAAAGTATCATGAAATGACTTCAAGCCTGATTTGCATATCAATTTCCAATATTATTTGATTAGGACTCAAGAAGCTTCTTATAAATGAATTACTTCCAGTTAACATTCAATTTCGGTGTAAACAGTGTAGAAAAATAATTAGATTCACATCTGATTTAACTTACACAGAAATTAACTAACCTTAACCTGTACCAATTAATTTGAGTTGTACAAGACATGGGGCAGGAAAGAAAGATGCTAATTTAGTTTTCTGTATATATACCATGCAGACAATGCAACCGTTGGGTTACTGTCCACCCAAGAGACAATGAAAAAAATGGATGTAAAACAATGAAGAAATACATCTTTAAAAAGATGCATGTTAGTTGGATTCAAACTGGTCCCCAATTTTGCGTCCACAAATTTCAAGTACTTGTGGCAGCTAAATGAACTTACACATTCATTTTGTGAGAGGTGCAATATGAGAAGTTGTGAAAGAAAAGTCACGTGTAGGGAATTTTCCTTTTGAATCTATTGCTTCAGCAAATATGGACTAACTTTACTTCAGAGAAAGAATAACAAGCCATCAGGTTTCTTGGCTATACACTAGCCAGGGCTGTTAGAGGTGTTAAAGGACGTACATGAAAAGACAGGCTTCCAAAAGGACAGTAGCATAACTTAAAATGTGGCCTTTCCTTTCCTATGACAACACAGATTTAAAATCAAAGTTTGAGTCAGCTTTGAGTCAAAGTTTTAGGTGAGGCACGCTGTGTGTTCACTGATCTGGTACACTCATCCCTTAAGAACAATTTCTGAGCATAGCAATCAGGCTTTCTGCTCTAGCTGCCAGGTTGTTTCAAGAAAGAGGGCCATCCTACTTGAAGAGTCTCCAGGTGGCAGATGTACTACAGATCCCGGAGCACTCAAATGCCTGCTGCTATGTGGATTTTCCATAGAAAATGACAGCACTGTTATGAGAAATAAACAGCTGCCAACAGTGAATACAAGTACATGGAAAATAGAGGCCACTGCACCTTCAGGGCCATTTCCTGAGAAGATTTGTGCAGAAATGTTTAGAGTGGGGAGGAAGCGGCAGTCACTGAGCTAATTCATTGTCAATCCATACTATGTATTATTGAGTCATGGAATTGCCCATTAGCTCTTGGCTTCTAGGGAATACTTTTTGCACTGCTAAGCACTGGGTGTCTCACTGCAAATTGGACTCTGTCCAAAGGTAGGTCCTGGGTCTATTTAAATGTAAAAACAAAGAAGTAAAAGAGAAAAGGTCCAGGTCAACTGCAAAATGCAAATTCCAACCTTACCAAAGTGTGTCACGTCAATGAGAACGAACAGACAGTTTGCATAACCCAACATAAACAAACCCGGGAAATTGCTATGTTTCTGCAAAATGGTTTGGTTTAACTGAATTTGCATTTTCCAACAGAAGACTTTTGACCACCTCTGGCTATTTCTTTTCTATTATCTATCCTCCTACTCCACTTAAAAGAACCAATGACAGTGAACAGCACAGAAACAGTGGTGTAGTAGCAATCTCCTGTAGTTCAAACATGTAAAGTTAAAACAAAATATTGAAGTCAGTAAAAGAAAATATACCTGACAGCTCGGATGACTGTTTTCAAAGTGGGGATCATATCTTCCATGAGGAATTCATTACTGTCACCCCTATCTTCTTGCATGGGGTCCCCCGTTCCTGCCTCTGTAAAGCAGGCCAAACACATATGTGCAAAAATCTGGCCACAACGTACAGGTTACATCAGATGGATACTAAATAACATGACCCCTACTTTAATTTACATGATCTTGTAGTCTCCTGTAAGCTCCTTTTATTGTTATACTTCTCTTTGGGACCACTGGCAGGCAAGTCACATCAATTGAGACTCCATGGACCAAACTTACGCACGATGCCTGAGGGGCTGGGCGTCCTACATGTTGATGAATTGATGGGAGTCTAAAGGATTCTTTTAAGTAAGCTTAGCATGAGTCTAAATAAAGACTATGGGGGCACGTCTACATATGCATTTATGCACCTTTTCTAACATGCACTAAATTTAGTATCTCCAATGTAAGGTACTAAACGAATGCACGTTAGGCCGCACTAACACACAGTAGCACATATGCACACTTTTTAGTGATGCTTAATGTGCAGCAGACTATTTTCCTGTGAATTAGCATAATGCAATTTTTTTTATGTGATGCTTTAACGTGCAGTAAAATAGTCTACTGAGCATTAAAGTGCATGTGTGGATGCATCCTAGGAAACTGAAAGAAAGTAAATCGTGTTAACTAGATCCCACTAGATCCTCCTAGATACACTTAGATTCACTGCCCCACATTCTCCCATGCCCATGTTCACTTCAAGTGGATTCAACTGCACATACATCAATACAGCGCATTGTTAGTTTTAAGTAACCCATGCATCTTATGTGGAGAGACATTCGGCTCAAACGCGGGATTATTTTCAAGGTCTTCCCCAAATGGTCAGTAAATTCTCCATGTATGGGCATGCAGTAGTTGTGTATGTCCAATTATTTTTAATGATGTAGCATGTTATTTTGAAAGTCATGAAACTTCAAAAAAGAGGTGGAAGGGAAAAAACAAACAAAAATGGGAACGCAGTGAAGAACTTGAGGGGGTAAAAGAAATCAACAGAGATGTGCTACCTTCTGAGCTTTGCCAAAAAGCGTATGCTTTCATTCGGAATGCAGTGCGGAAACGTTCCTTATTATTCAAGCCAACATTCTTAGGCTCTTTAGAAGGACTTTCTTCAATGGCATCTACATTCAGAGGGGTAAATAGCTTTCCTTTAGTATTGGTACCACGAACCCGATCCAAGAGACCCAGCTTTTGGCTACAAAATAAGCAAAAGGAATCATTTTTCCTCCTTTAATGCAGTTACAGACTTTTAACTTGCTTTCATGTTGCTTTTAATATATCAGAACTTGAATAGCTATTTAGGATAGCTGAGGCTATGGGAATGCATCAATATCTTTGTCATCAGCAACTAAGCTCATTAAGAATTGATAGGTTTTATAAGCACTGTAATATAAATGCTGCACATGTTACTATAAGGCCTTACTAAGATTTCCATCAAATGCGCCGCGTTGCTTCTGCTCCATTAACGTGTCTGAAGTGCTAGCTTCGTCATTAAAAAGACAAATGCCAATATTTAGTCAGTAACATTGTCCGATGAGAAGGAACCTTAGTTTTTCCAGTTCAGTGCCCTCTAAGTGCTGGGTCAGTGGTAGATTATTACACGAATAACTTGTGCACAACCATGAATGAGAGAAGAGCTAATGTGCTGTGAACTAAAAATAAGTTATCAGCAAAACACTGGAGAATACAAAAATGTTCTTTCCTATGCAACTGCTCAGTACATGGTATACCAGGACACCCACTTCTCACCACCAGTCAGTTCCACTCAATTCACAGTTGGAAAACTTATGGGGGATGATCTTCTGTTTGCCTAAAAGAGCATTTAAAATATTTCAGTACCTTTCAGCTCTCTCATAATCCATCTCATTGCCCTCTTGTGACTGTAATGACTTTCAATATTTTATCTTTCTAGAAGCATGCATTCATAGTAACCTTACTGGTACCAAATGACAACACTGATATTCAAGCAAGTTACTAGCACTCTTATGGCAGCACAAAGTTATCTGCCACACCATGTTTTCACTGAAAAACCACTAGAGGGATGTCTTACTGGAATAATCAGAATAAGGTGGATTGTGGAAAAATGCAGAGCAGTGAACTTAATGATACATCATTTGATATATGGGTATGTGTGTGTTTAGTTTTTATGATACAATTGATATGTATATGGGGTAGTCCCCTAATGCAGGGGCAGGCAAAGTGTGGCTCGTGGGCCAGATCAGGCCTGCAGTGGACTCCATTTCCCAGCAGCCCCTTCCGATGTTGCTGTGGCCAGTTTCCATGGAGACCCCAGCAGTGGCAGGGCCATGACAGTGTGGGGCCAGGGTTTCCATGGAGACACTCCCAGAAGCACTGGCAGGGTGGGGAGCTGCTCTGGGGCTGGGATCTTGTGGCATGCAGGCAGGGGTGTGCAGGCAGAGCATCATGGCTCTGCCCTGGCTCCAGACCACGCTGGCACCACTGCAAGTTCCCAGCCCCGGCTGCAGAGCAGCTACTCACGCAGCTGTGTGCCCTGCCCGCGCTGCTGGGGCTGGTCTCCATGGAAGCCCTGGCCCCACGCTGTCACAATGCCACCACTCCTGGGGTCTCCACGGAAACTGGCTGCAGTGATGTGGGCAGGGGCTGATGGGAAATGGAGTCCAGCCACTGGGCAGATCCACCATTTTGCCCACCCATCCTACTGGGTCACCCCTACTACGAAAGGGCTTGTAACAGGTTGCAGGCTTGCAGCCTGGATCAATTAGCCAGCCCGCCTAAGGGCAATCAACCAATAATGAGGGGAAGTTGACTGGCTGACCAGAAATAAAGAGGCAGGAAGAAGAAGTGAGACGAGGAAGACTTGGGTAGGGGAATGGTTGCGTTGAGAGCGAGGACTCCTCCAAGGAAGGAGGAAGATTTCACGGTGAGAACTAACCCGTGCCTGCAGGTGTACGCTCTGAACTGCTTTATATTTTCTGCTGAGCTCTGTGGTGCAGATTAACCTAGGGCTTTAAAGCTTGTGGTGTGGGCCCAGAAAAGGCTGTGCTGCTGGGACTGGACTTCAGATGTGTTTATTCTGGATTGCTTCTGCTTCGGCTGAGCCCTAGGAGAACCCAGGGCATCTGCGCCTGCATTGCAGGGCCCACGGAAAGACTGCGCTGCTGGGACCAGATTAAAGAACTGGTTTAAAGGGTTCAAGGACTGATTGCAGTCTGAGTTGGGGGAGCTAGGCTAATTGAAACCCCACTATAGGGCTACATAAATATACTCTCTCTATGTAATGCCACATCCTGATATTGCAGAGTTTAAATGAATGGCTACACAACTGTTTTTCTGTTAACATGATCATTTCCTACTGACTTCTGAAATGTGTATGGTGTGGCCTTGCTTGAACGGCGGTGATAAATGTCTGGATTTCACTGCAGAATCTAAAAGCAATACTTCAGATAACAAGGGAAGCATTCAGGAAGTGGATTTTGCCAGAGACAAAAAAGAGCTGGTGACTAAATCAGAAGTTGCCTACCACACAGCAAGTGAAGTTGTCTGAGACTTTGGTGTCTATATAGATTCCAGTACAGGTATGAGCATCCCATTCATATGAGCCCTGAATCATTTAGTTAGCAGTCTTGCTTGGAGACTATACATATGCGCCATATGCCTTCACCGCTACCCTTATCCATGGAGGGCACATAGGGGAAAGCAGCCCCAACTGCCACACAGTTCAATACGATGTAGAAAGAATCTATATCACTGAAGAAGAAGGGCAGCTCATGGGATCTGCATGGAGAAGGCTGCCTTGAAGACCTCCATTTACTGCCAGGTGAGTAAAATATCACCTTTCTTCTTCAGGCCTTTGTCTGTGCTCATCCAACCGCATGCATTTGATCAGCTGTTACCAAACTACTGAAATAAAGATGATAGGACTGTTCTTCCAAACTGGGCATCTGATCTAGAAGCTGGCTGGAAGGACTCGTGTTTAGTAAAATATAAAAATATTGTAGAGCTCCATTCAGCAGCCCTATGAATTTCTGAGATAGGGCTACAAGATATGATAGAGATGTTACCCGGCACCTAGGTTTCCTCTAAAGGGGAAACTTTATCACAGAATAAGAGATTTTAATGTATTTTTGGGGCAGATGTATCCGGCTGTCAGACTTACCACTAAACATTACGAAAAAGCTGTGCCATTTTTAAAAAGTTTTCTTCTAGATAGGTAGAAAGGCAAGGCTGTCAGTATTTCCAGATTATTAAATTAGTCTCATTTGGAGGGAAGAAGCTCAGGGAAGTGTATAAATTGATGTGGATGAATATGTCGACTTATCTGGGGAAGAAATTTCACGTGTGTGTATAAGCATAACTGACCCTGTAAAAACGGTGTAAAAATAATTTGTCATCCTAGACTGCTATTTGTTCTACAGGCATAAGTTATAGCCCCTGGAAAGGCATCTCTGCAGAGGAAGGTGCCACAGAATAGAATGATAAAGGTTCAAAAAGGGAGTTCTGGTAGGACATCGATACTATATTCAAGTCACAAGCAAGAAGTGATTCCTTCTTCAGTAGAAATAAATGGATCATTCCCTTCGAAAAGGAGCAACAGTATAATCTCACACATGGAGTACACCAGTGCAAGCTGCTATGTGATCCAGTGAAATGAAATCTTTGGCTTGGAGCAGAGGCTTGTAATGAGCTGAGCCATCATGCTAAATTTCTCCTGAGAAAGTTATGGCCTGGCTGATACAGAGTCCAAACTTGCTCCTATAAGTTATACTGAGTGAGAAAAGGCAATGTGTGACTTTTCTCAAGTAAGTTTTGAGACCCAGGCACCAGACAAAGTGCAAATTGACCTTTTGAACATCTCTGGTAACCAGACAAAAAGAATGATCTGAGATCCACTGGTTGTTATGCCAAGGGCATACACTGAGTCTCGATACCACCGGGCACTAGGTAAACACGGCTGGGTCCATTGAGAACTGGTTGTGGTGGCTCTTACATGTGAAGCACAGACATTTGCTTTGAACTGTGTGGATTGCCCCCTGCAAATACATGTCCTGCAAGATAAGAACTGCCACTCAGTTCATAGGATCTAGGAAAGAAATAGATGAGAGGGCTGAGATCCAAACCTGTCTAATGAATGAACTTAAGTTGTCTGAAATCTTGCATGGGGCACAGCCTCGCCTTGTTTTTCGGAATAGGGAAGTAGCGGGACTAGAACCCGTGTTCTCAGAAGGTCCCATTTTGATCATGCATCTGCCTGCAGCAGGCAGCCGTATGAAGGGGTCATCAAGGGGATGGCTGGGAAGAGATGGGATCCACCTGACAAAGAGAGGGAAGAGCATCTTCAAAGACAGGCTTTAAACTAGGTCTGCCGGGGGATAGATACCGAAGCCCTGAGGTAAGTGGGGAAGCAGGAGGCCTGGCAGAAGAGCAAGCAGGAGGGGGCAACAGGGGAGGTGGTCTCATTCTTTCTGAGAAATCAGGGCACTAGTTACCTTGGTGTATGTACACAAATGCCAGGAGCCTGGGAAACAAGCAGGAGGAACTGGAAGTCCATGCACAGTCAACGAATCATGACGTGATTGGAATAATACAGACTTGGTGGGCTGACCTGCATGACTGGAGCACTGTCCTGGATGGGTATAAACTGTTCAGGAAGGACAGGCAGGGAAGGAGAGGAGGAAAAGTTACAAATTATTTAAAAGAGCCATTTGATTGCTCAGAGCTCCAGTATGAAACTGGAGATAGGCCTGTTTAAAGTCTCTGGATTAAGGTAAGAGTGGAGAGCAATAAGGGTGATGTTGTGGTGGGGGTCTGTGATAGACCACCAGACCAGGAGGAAGTGGTGGATGAGGCTTTCTTCAGACAGCTAGCAGAAGTTTCCCAATCATAAGCCCTGGTTCCTATAGGGGACTCCAATCACCCTGACATCTCCTGGGAGGGCAATACAGCAGTGCACTGGCAATCCAGGAAATTTTTGGAGAGTTGGGGACAACTTCCTGGTGCAAGTGTTGAAGAGGCTCACTAGAGGTCGTGCTCTTCTTGACCTTCTGTTCACGAATAGGAAAGAATTGGTGGGGAATGTAGTAGTGAACGACAACTTGGGCAGCAGTGACCATGAGATCATTGAGTTCAGGATCCTAAGGAAAGGAAGGAAGGAGAGCAGCAGAGTAAGGACCCTGGACTTCAGAAAAGCAGACCTCGACTCACTCAGGGAACTCA